ATTTAATACATCAAAAAGTTAATCTGTTTATCTACATGTTTAATCACTTTCCCTCATTGGCATGACACCTTCTATATAATTTCCTAGTGGTATACCAGAACTTGGGCCAGGAGTTGCGATTTCATCTTCTTTGTCAGTTTAGGAATCCAATTCGGAATCACTGCTGTCAGAATCTCCAACCCGTATTATAAATTCTTCCGTCATTTTATCGATGACATGGTCGCTTTTGACATAAGTTTCTTCGATTGTCTTAACTTTGTCGCATAGCTTTTTCCAATCACATGGTCCCATTGCATTTACCTTTTCGTTCACTAACTGTATAACACGGGGCACATTCCATCGTACATTTTTGCTACATACATAACCCTTTATAGCTGCCCATGCCATTTCTATAGGGTTCAGATCTGGGTGGTAGGGAGGCAGGCAAAGTACGTCATGACCATGTTCTTTAAAAATCTTGTCCAAACTAAATGTTTTGAAGCGATCTTCGTTATTTTTTCATTAATTAATATAATTGAGGCTTCAACATTTCAGACGTAAATGTTATACCTTTTTCTGAAAGCTAAGCCTGCATATCAGCTTTCCTTGAATTCGCCTTTGGTGCTAAGTATTCCTTATTATGGTATGATGCATTGTCTGCAACTATAATCGAATTTGGGGGAAGATTCGGTATCAATTGAGTTCGAATCCACTTCTCATAGTTCTCAAAATTCATATCGTCGTGATAGTCCCCGGACTTCATACCTGACTTGAACGTTAACAAGGCGTTAGGCACAAAACCAGTCTCCGATCCGGCATGTACTATCACAAACCGTTGTCCTTTTGATAAGGGTTTTTTTTATTCCTTTACTTGAACCATCTGTCAAACCTTTCGGTGTGGTGTGAGTAGCGTAAACATATGACTCATCTGTGTATATAATTGGTCTGTTTTGTTGTCGATATAGTCTTAATTTTTTTAAGTAATTTATTCTTAACAATTTGATGGCTGATGTTTCTATTAAAACCTTCCTATTATTCTCGGTGGCTTTCCATTTAAATCCAATTTCCTTAATAATGCGACGAAGACTTTTTCAGAACCTTCAAATTTTATATCGGCACGTAATTGGTTGTGGTCGAGTCATTTTTTTGAAATTTAATTAAATGATCACGCAATCAACAGAATTATAAATGTCAATGAGTTGAAAACTTCGTACGCGATTGTACTCCAGGACCGCGCGGTGAGTGCGCGGGTAGCGAGGGACAGAGTGCGACTGAGTGGGGTCTAGCGCCGCCACGTTGCTATGGTTACGCGTTGTCCCTCGCGGCGCACCTCATACCGCACTTCGATTGAGACCCAAAAATGTGTTACAGCGCATACAAGGTCATAGTTCAACTTACGTGCCGCGATTTATAGGCGTTTTCGGGCTGTCTGTCCGGTCGTCTATAGCTTGCTACATATATATTTATCTATGGTCGTCTATACGCACAAACTATATAGAAACACTACGCGTCTATACGCCAGTATAGTCTCAGTCTATGGTGAAATGTAATCTATAGCCTATGCTCTACATCTATACTCATAGACTTAGTATATTATATTATAGTCAATCCTCTATCTACGTCTATACTCTACTCTATACTCCATGAATCTAGCGCACAGACGACCGTCTTCCGTACTAAAAAAATGATATAAGAAAAATAGAGGATATCAGATGTGGTCACGTGATCTGAAGTCGAGTGTTTCTCAAATATGGCGACGACTCCACCAACAACAAATAGCGTTGTTTTTGTCGATATTTTCAGTATAGATGCAATATAAATTATGACGTATTGTCCATCTCATAGGGATATATTAAATAGACAAATATTAGATCACTACACTATTGCATTGGGTTAATCCTGTAATAATAGTTGTAGTGAGATAATAAATAAATAAATCTTACGTTCAACTCAGAATAGAAAAGTTTTAAAACATAATTGCTTTAAGGTATGGTGAAGCAATAGTCAAAAGTGAGCGAAGAGATCAAGGAAAGAACAACATGTATTGGAGCTTTAAATCCTTTCTTTTCAGAACACGTATACGACGTGCACCAGAATATTATACTGAATTCGAGCAACGAGCTAACGTTTTTCCGTACCGACACCAATCTGAACATAGGCACTCCATCCGTGCGTCCCTGGGTCAACGCATGCATTTTTTTCTTCTCTACAGAGATTAACGAAACCACCACTATAGGCATTGTATTAGGCTTCGTATGATTTTTTTGTCCAGCCCATGCTGACCCACTACTAGGCAGAAGCCTCCCCTGTTTTTTCAAGTGGTTTGTCCTGCACCACATCGAACCAGCCCCCAGGTATGCATCCAGGTTGCGTGAATTATGTCATATATATAGACTTTATAGCGGCTGGGAAGTTAGTTGCCGGCGCTAGTCCTGTACCTCCACGCTTCGCTTTACGTACAGTGATCTGAGACACCATCAAGTTTTCTTTCAACTATATTTGCACGGACTAGCGCTCGCACTTAACTTCCGAGCAGCCATAAAGATTGCAGACATTGACAACACCTTTCTTTCGTCGTAATGGTCGGTTATCAGTTCAAGTTACCATGAAAGTGCATTAGACTGACTTTTATCTTGATTTATTAAAAGTTTGTGGAGCATGTGTTCTTTCAGACATAGTTATTTATTTATTGCATTTACATGTGGTTTTGTGTGACACATTACAGCACATGCACCCAGCAAGGGTATAACAAACATTAAATAAAGTTAGCCTTAATTTCTAATACCTTTGTAGTGGTAGGATATTGAATAGACAACACTTACTTCTTAACTCCACAACGTTTATTTTGTCACACACAATGTTTTATGCTGTTTATAATTTACAAGGCCCATAAACACAAGCAAGTATTATATATTAAGGCGTGAGATAGTAACACAGCACAGAAGAATACAGTAAGCAAGTTAATAGAATAGGAAGAAGAAAATTAGCGTAACAGTACAGCGTAATATAATTTTTACACGCGCAAGCGATACGGATTCACTGCGGAAGTCTGCGGTCAACTGAAGGACGGCCGACGACGTACGCGCAAGTTCCTTTGTTCTAATTATTTACCTGGAGCGTTAGAAGACATTTATACGATACGATTTTTACGTCGTTGGCCTTCCGACATATCAACAACTAGTAAGCGTTTTATATAACATTGTGCACGTATTATACTACATTTATTTATATACTATATACTGTTTATTTATACATTTTAATTTATACATATACTTATTATTTTATATATAATTTGCTAATTACATGTTTGTGTTTTTATTTATAAAATTAATATTTAATACAAAACTACACAGAATTTATTTTTACAGCTAATATCGCAGTCCACCACACCACTCCCCCCCAGAGACCGTCCTACGGACGATAATATTCCGGGGCCATTACTACTCGCCCAAAACGCGTTTGTTTAATATTTGTATCTCCTTCAGGTAATGAAACTTCCGGCGGAGCGGGATTACTATCAACGAGTAGATAAGCTGGTTTTAATCTATCTATTGACACTGTTGTTGCTCTGCCGTTTAAAAGAATTTTAAAAACCTTATCAGTTCTGTCAAGCACTTTGTGTGGTCCTGAATAGGCGGGTTGAAGGGATCCTCTAACAGCGTCTTCTCTTAGGTAGACGTGGGTTGTTGTGGCGAGATCTTTAAAAACGAAGGTTATCTTTTTACAATGACGAGAAGCTGGTTGTGGTTGAATGTTTCGGACAATTGAACGTAATCGAGTGGTGAAATCAGTAACAACAGTGTTTATATGTGGAGAAGGATGTAATAACTCTCCAGGCAGTCTAAGTGGCTCACCATATACTATTTCGGCAGGAGAAGTTTTTAAGTCTTCCTTAATTGCACTACGTATGCCTAGTAACACTAGAGGAAGAGCTTCTGTCCAGTTTGCATTGGCGTGGCAGGTTATTGCTGCCTTAAGCTGTCTATGAAACCTCTCGGTCATTCCGTTACAGGCTGGATGGTATGCTGTAGTTGGTTTGTGTTGGAATCCTACCATTCTCGAAAGGGCCTTAAAAAGTTCCGACTCAAATTGACGTCCTCTGTCCGTAACCACTTCGCTAGGGCAACCAAAGCGTGCTATCCATCCGGATATCAGGGCTTTGGCGACTGTCTCAGCGGTTATATTTTTGATAGGTATGGCTTCAGGCCATCTACTGAATCGATCTATAACAGTGAGGCAGTACTTGTATTCATTTGATACAGGTAGTGGTCCAACAAGATCTATATGTATGCACGCAAATCTCTTACGTGGTAGCTTAAACGTACCAAGTGGCGATGATACATGTCGAGTTACTTTTGTCTGCTGACATGGGTGGCAGGTTTTGGTCCACTGTCGGCAATCTTTTCTCATTCCAGGCCAGACGTAGCGCTGCGCAATTAATTTTACGGTTGCGTTAGTGCCAGTGTGGCTTAAGGAGTGAAGATTTTCAAAAACCTGACGCCTAAAGGGTTTAGTAACGAAAGGCCTGAGTGAGTCGTTATTGTCATCACAGTATAATTGCGTCTGTGTTCCAGGTATGGTAACTTGACGCAGGCGTAGTGATGTTGTATTCTGTAAAATTTCTTTTAACTCAGGGTCGTCAATTTGTGATTTAGCTAGTGCCACTAAGTCGACAGGTAATGTTAATTCTTCGATTCTGGACAGTGCATCCGCCACGACATTATCTTTACCTGATACATGCTGATTGTCCGTGGTAAATTGCGATATAAAGTCCAGATGTCGGAATTGCCGTGGAGAGCATTTGTCTTTCCGTGTGTTAAAGGCGAAGCAAAGAGGCTTGTGATCTGTGTACACTGTGAAGTGTCTGGCTTCAAGCATATGTCGGAAATATCGGATACCTTCGTAGATTGCAAGCAGTTCCCTATCATACGGAGAATATTTGTTTTGCGTTGGACTTAGTTTCTGAGAGAAGAAACCCAATGGCTGCCAACAATTGTTCTTCCGTTGTTGCAGAACTGCGCCTATGGCGGTATCCGATGCATCAGTAACCAATGCGAGTCTTGCACTGAGTCTGGATGTGCCAGAAGAGCAGCTGTGCATAAGCTTCTTTTGCAGTTTTCAAAAGCTGTCTTTGTATCGCCAGAAATGTTTACTGGATGAGAACCTTTCACTCGTCCTGTCAATAGGGCATGAAGTGGTGCTTGAATTTTTGCCGCACCGGGGATGAATTTGCGATAGAAATTCAGTATCCCTAAAAATCGACGAAGTTCTCTCACCGTCTTTGGTATCGGGTAATCTTGGACGGCTTGTACTTTGGTTTCGAGTGGCATTAATCCTTCTGCCGATACCTTGTATCCGAGAAATACTACCTCCTTTGCTCCAAAGACACACTTAGATGTATTTATGACAGTTCCGTTTTCTTTGAGTCTGTCGAATAACTGACAAAGATGTTCTTTGTGTGATTTTTCGTCTTTGGAGAAAATGAGAAAGTCGTCCAAATAGGCAAAGCAAAAATCCATACCTCTAGTCAGTTCATCAACGAATCTCTGAAACGTTTGACCTGCGTTTCTAAGGCCGTACGTCATATACCGGAACTCGTAGAGGCCAAAAGGTGTTGTAATTGCCGTCTTTGGTATATCCTCTTCACTAACAGGAATTTGGTTGTACGCTTTCACCAAGTCTATTGTTGAAAATATTGTACAAACAGATATGTTATGGGTAAAGTCGTGGATATTTCGGATGGGATAGCGGTCTGGGATTGTGCGGGCGTTGAGCATCCGGTAGTCGCCACATGGACGCCATCCATTTCCCTTTTTCGGTGCGAGGTGCAATGGAGACGACCAAGCGCTTTCAGATGGGCGTGCTATTCCGTTTTTAATCATTAATTCAAACTCTTGTTTTGCTACCTTGAGTTTGTCTGGCGCTAATCGGCGTGGTGTGGAACTGATTGGTGGGCCTGGCGTAGTCCTAATATGATGGACAGTGCTGTGGGGTGCTACACATTGAATTCCAGCTGGACGAGTTATTTCTGGATAGCTACGGAGCATGTCGTGGTAACGCGAATCGCCGATCATTGACTTAACTGAAGAGATAGTGTTCGACGATGTTACTGGCGAAGCTATTGTTGAGAGTGATGTGGTAGTATCTATAAGGCGTTGGTTTCGATAGTCAACCATAAGACCATAAAAGACAGGAAGTCGACGGCGATGATAGCCTTCGTGACATTAGCCACGATGAAACGCCAAGAGTAATCGCGACATAAACCGAGATTTAGCTCCAGATGTACGTATCCGTAAGTTGTGATAAGTGAACCGTTAGCGGCATAGAGTTGGTAATTGGTACTAGGTCGACGTTCACGGAGCGATGTGTACGGGAAGACGCAGAGGTCACTGCCAGTATCGACAAGAAACTGCATCTTTGTTCTTCGGTCCGAAACTAATAGGCGACCAGTTGTACTGAGGCAGTCGTGTGTCGCCATTATCGACCGCCTTGGCAGTTTTCCGGGTTGAAGTCGCAGGGCTTAATGCATCTGTCTGCCTTGTTTCCAAATTTGTGGTGATACCAGCATGTGGGAAATTTCCTGTAATCAGATCTGGAGCGGCTGGTCTTACGTGCTCGTCTGGTGTTGCGAGTCAAAGATCTTGGCCTGTGTACGCGCGTGGAGAGGGCTTGAACTTGCTTTGTAAGTTCGCAAATTTGATTAGCCATCGTCTGTAAGACTGAACTTTGCGTGCACTCTGCAGCGGCGTCTTGAGGTGTTGAAGGCACAATGTCGTGGACGCGGTCAGCTAAGTCTGCTAAAGCCTGCAAATCTGAGGTTGTCTGTGATGCTATCACTGTCTGTATGCTATGTGGTAAACGGCTGCACCAGATGGTTTTAAGGAAATCATCAGGTACGCTAGGTCTAGCAAGATGCTGTAGATGGCGTAGAAACTGTGATGGTCGGCGATCACCCAGCTCTTCATGCATAAGTAGCTGCTTCACCTCCTTTTCACGTGTCGCAGAGAGTCGTTTTATGAGCTCGGTCTTCAGCTTTTCATATTTGTCTTTGTCAGGTGGTGAGACAATTATGTCTTTAACTTCTGCTGCGTATCTCTGCTCTAGGGTTGACGTAATATAATAAAATTTTGTTGCGTCGTCCTTTATTCCAGATAACAGAAAGTTGCCTTCCAATTGAGCAAACCATACTGCTGGCTCTTCCGGCCAAAAAGGTGGTGGTCGGACGCCGATACGGCAAATGTCGGAAGGTGTAAATGTCTTTTTTCCTTCGTCCGAATCGTTATCTTTGTGGGCGTTTCTGCTCGTAGAACTGTGTGACATTTTAATTATTATTCACTTACCGTTCTGATCCTTCGGTGTTCTTCAGGGGTCACCAGTGTAGTGGTAGGATATTGAATAAACAACACTTACTTCTTAACTCCACAACGTTTATTTTGTCACACACAATGTTTTATGCTGTTTATAATTTACAAGGCCCACAAACACAAGCAAGTATTATATATTAAGGCGTGAGATAGTAACACAGCACAGAAGTATACAGTAAGTAAGTTAATAGAATAGGAAGAAGAAAATTAGCGTAACAGTACAGCGTAATATAATTTTTACAAGCGCAAGCGACACGGATTCACTGCGGAAGTCTGCGGTCAACTGAAGGACGGCAACGACGTACGCGCAAGTTCCTTTGTTCTAATTATTAACCTGGAGCGTTAGAAGACATTTATACGATACGATTTTTACGTCGTTGGCCTTCCGACATATCAACAACTAGTAAGCGTTTTATATAACATTGTGCACGTATTATATTACATTTATTTATATACTATATACTGTTTATTTATACATTTTAATTTATACATATACTTATTATTTTATATATAATTTGTTAATTACATGTTTGTGTTTTTATTTATAAAATTAATATTTAATACAAAACTACACAGAATTTATTTTTACAGCTAATATCGCAGTCCACCACACCTTAATTTTAATACTAATATATATTTCATACATTTCAGGTATTATTGTAGTATTTAGTATATGTCATATTACTATATTTATTTATTTATTTCTATTTAACATAATATTCATCTAATTTATAGTAACATTTCTTAATCAAAAGCTATTTAGTGCTATCACAAATTTCTTATATTCTTCCATCTCTCTTATATCTGTGGGTGAACTGTATAAAGATAAAGTGATTTTAGGCAATATTAATTTATTTATTTTCCTAAGTTGTATATTATGTCTATTTATGCTATTATCACCAGTTTTTTGAAATATTTCTATATTTTTTCTTACTAATTTACATGATTCTAATATGTATAAAGATGTTATATCTTGTATTGTATAAAATATGGTCTACAGCTTTCCCTAGACTCAATATTTGCTAGAATTCTTATAAATTTTTTTTGAGCGATGAAGAGTTTTTGGACGTCTGTGCAGTTTCCCCATAAGGGTATACCGTAGCACAACCACGCACGCGCATACGAATTGTAAGTCATTTTGGCTATATTTGGGTTTGTGGACCTTTTTAACTCATTTAGCGCGTATATAAATCTGGAAAATTTATTTAATACATATTCTATATGGCTTTTCCAATTTAGATTACTGTCTATTTTAGTTCCTAACAATGAAATTTTTTGTACACACTCTAGTTTTATATTACAAATCGAAAAATTTATATTCAACTGCTGTTTTTGACATGGTTTAAAAACCATTAATTTAGTTTTGTTAAAATTTAATTCAAAACTATGTTCTTTTAGCCATGAAACTATTTCATTAAGAATGCAGTTTAATTTATTATTTATTTCTGTTTCATTTGTCACAGGTAATATTACTGACATGTCATCTGCAAATAGTATACTCTTTTCCTTTATAATTTTAGGCAATTCATTTATATATACTAAAAACAGGAAGCATCTTATTACACTTCCCTGGGGTATGGATTTTAGTACAGATACTTTCCTTGATCTTACTTTTACAGTAATATTATTCTCTAGGCATGTATGTTGTATTTCAACATACTGAACTCGGTTTTGAAAGTATGATCTAAGCCAGTTATGGGCCACCCCTCTGATGCCTATGCTGTATAATTTATCAAGCAAAATATTTGGTAATATTCGATCATATGCCTTACTAAAATCTAATAAAATTCCAATAGCGTATTTCTTTTTGTTAAGAATGTCTAATATATTTTGTGAATATTTGAAAACAGCTATGGTAGTTGACCGGTTACATCGAAAACCATTTTGGCTGTCATCAATTATGTTAAATTTCTCGAGTGTAGTAGTATCCTATGAGTAAAGACGCTTTGTCATAGCGGATTCAATTATTTTAGAGAAAGATGGTAGTAGAGCTATGGGTCGGTAGTTGCTTCTTAAAGTAGGATCTCCAGATTTGAATATTGGTGTGACTATAGATATTTTTAAATTATCAGGGACTACACCTTCATTAAATGATTGGTTAATGAGAAAGGCGAACACACACAGCTTCTTTTATTTTTTAAGTTTTGAATGATACGTGTTATTTCTTTTACATCGACTGGTCTCAGATAAAAAGAATTTTCAATAGAAGAGGAGACAGGCTGGCCTGTCGGTGGCGTTTCTGTCTTTGTCTCATCTTGTCCTCCCACCGACACAAAGTATTCATTGAATGCATTGGCTATCGATTGCGGATCCTTTAATTTGGTTTTATTTATACACAAAGCTATCTTTTTTATTACACGGGGAGGTATTTTATTAGTTTTCTCTTTAATAATTAACCATATAGTTTTGTTTATGTTGGAAGACTGCTTGATTTTTTGATATTAAGTATTTTTTTTTATGTTTTAACTATATTTTTTAGTAATTTCGTATATTGTCTGTAATAATTTTCTAAAATAGTATTTTTGTATTGGCTGATTAATATTTTTAGTAGTCTCTTATGTCTACATGAGATTTTTATTCCTTTTGTCAGCCATCTTTTTGGTTTTATAGTTCTTAATTTTATACTCGTTATGGGTGCATGCAGTCGTTAAGAATTTTATGAATTGATTGTATAAAAACATTGTAATTGTCATTAACATGTTCATATTTAAAACTTTGAAACCAATCAATATTTCTAATTTGGGTTTTAAATAATTCTATTTGGCTTTCTTTATAAATTCGTTTTTGTATGTACCAGGCTGTCTTTGGTTTATACATAACATTTTTTGTACTAAGAATAATACCCTTGTGATCGGATAATCCATATTCATGCACCCTTACATTAATATTAAACAAGTTTAAATTAAAATTGGTAAATATCAAGTCGATACATGTGGAACTTGTGCCCGTTATTCGGGTTGGTTCCTTAATTTGTTGAGTAAAGTTATGTATATGCACGAGATTTAAAAGTTTAGATTGAAGTTCTGACTTGCATAGAAAGTCTATATTAAAATCACCTCCTATTATTATGTTTTTTTGAGGGTCTTTTTTGGTAAACATTTTTAGCAAATTTTCAAGTGATTTAAAAAACACTTCCAAGTTTCTATTTCTCATTGGCCAATAAATATTAACAATTATAAAATTTAATTTTGAGATCTCTACACAACATACTTACTTCAAAAACAAGTTCAGTTGAAAGACTAGTTATATCGCTACGCTCGATAAATTCTATATTATTACTATTAATATACAAACCCCGCCTCCTTCATGTTTTTCTCTATAAAATACCACATTCATAGCCATCTAACTTAAGTAAATCCAATTTGTGTTTCAAAAATCCAAGTTTCAGTTAAGCATATCACTTTTAAATTCATATCATATTGTATTAAATTTTCTATTAAATGAGTTTTATTTTTAAAACTGCGTATGTTCTGAAATAATATTTTAGTTTCGAAAGGAACAATTATTTGATAAGTAAGCTGGATCGTTAATTGGAACATTGTTTTCTTCATTCATTTCTTACTCAATATCTTGTATTAGTTTCCATGTTATTTAAAACAATTTTCATGCCAAGACCATTTATTTTACCATTTAGTCTCGAGACCATATTATAAGAATATTGAAGATTTTATTTTTATTAGCCGTCATCTCTCTTTTTTTTATAATAAAGA